AGTTTACAGTATTGAACACTTGTATATCAATTTAGAGAGAGAACTTTGATATACCAGCCTTGTGTCCAAGTCTCGACAGATGTAGAACAGTTTTTGCATACAAAGCTTGACTTGAAAGATACCCTTGCATAGTCTTGATAACTTTGAAAGGCTTGACTTTTTGCAACTAAGAGATGAGCTTCTTGAGTAGCGTTGACATCATCAAAACTTGAGATTGAAGCATGCTTCTACACTTCCGCCCAAAACACCTTCTTCAATCCAGCACTAACCAACATGCATCTGACCCTTTCAAGGATTGTTCGATTGAATCTCTCAGCTAAGCCATTTTGTTGAGGAGTACCTGCTACAGTCTTATGCCTTACAATCCCAGACTCAACACAGTAGTTGTTGAACGCTTCGTTGCAGAATTCAAGGTCATTGTCGGTTCTCAACCTCTTAACCTTTCTGCCAGTTTGAGTTCCGACCAGAATCTTCCAACTTTTGAAATTCTCAAAAGTTTCATCCTTCATCTTCTGAATGAATACCCATAGCTTTCTGGAATAGTCATCAATGATGGATAGAAAATACCTTGCACCTGAGTGTGAAGGATTCCTTGCAGGCCCCCAAAGATCAGCATGAATGTAATCCAGAGATCCATGTGTTCTTTGCTTGCCTTTGTTAAACTTCGCCCTACAGGATTTACCAAATACACAAGATTCACAAAATTCCAACTTTTCGAATTTGTCACCTCCTAGGAGGTTCTGCTTCCCTAATTCGACCAGGCCTCTTTCGCTGACATGGCCCAATCTCGTGTGCCATAATTCTGTCTTCGACATAAGTTTCATGGATGCAACATTTGTCGAACCACTTACAACCTCAGCCTCAAGGGTATACAAGCCTTGTTTCTTCACACCTCTCAAGACTTCATTCAACCCCTTCATGACTCTTAGGATACTTTTATCTCCTTGAAAAATGTATCCTTTTCTGTCGAATTCACCAAGAGAAATCAAATTTCTCTTCAAGTCAGGTACGTACCTGACTTCAGTCAATAACCTTATTGACTCATCATGGAGCTTGAATCTCACAGATCCAATACCTGCAATTTTGCAAGATTTGTTGTTTCCCAGCAGCACAGATCCACCATCTTGATCACATAGCTCCTCGAATAAATCTCTGTTTGGAGTCATGTGCCAAGTGCAACCTGAATCCATAATCCACTTTTTCCTCGAGTCGCCACTTGAAACCACAAGAACATCAGATGAGTCGAAGTCATCTTGAACAATGGCTGCATTGTCATTACCTCCATGATCTTTCAGGCGTTCAGGGCACACCTTTCTTATGTGACCCTCCTTCTTACAGTGATAACATCTAATACTAGATATTTCGCCACTATAAGACTTCTGTTGACTTTTACCTTTCTTCTTGTCGAACTTACCATCCTTTCGCAAGAATTTTCCCTTAACGGCCAAACCTTCGCCCACCGTCGAAGGTTTATGCTCCTTTCGTTTGTTCAAGTTCTTAGAATACAAGGCTGATTGAACTTCTTCAAAGGTCAGGGACTCCCTTCCATACAAGAGAGTTTCTTTGAAGTGAGCATGTGTTATGAGCAAAGCACACAGCAGTAACAGTGCTTGATCTTCATCATCGATCTTCACATCAATATTTTCAAGATCAAGAATCAGCTTGTTGAACATATCCAACTGCTCAGCCAACACTTTATCTTCACTCATCTTGAATGAATATAAAGCTTGCTTCAGGTAGAGTCGATTCACCAGAGATTTGGTCATGTACAAACTTTCAAGTTTCACCCATAATCCCGATGTTGTAGTCTCCTTTGATACCTATCAAAGAACCTTATCACCAAGGCTCAACAATATTGCGTTGTGGGCTTTCTCGATCATGCCCGTCTTTTCTTTTGCCGTTAACGCAGCGTCCATGGTTGCCTCACCCTTCAACGCTTCCAAACAACTCTGCTGAACCAACAGGGCTTTCATCTTCAAGCGCCACAGACCGAAGTCGTTCACTCTGGTGAACTTTTCAATCTCATACTTTGTTGAAGGCATCTTCTCCACGCTCACCGCACCAATTTGTTGTGAATCGGATACCTTTAAACAAAGTATAAACATTTCCTTAGCAAGAAACACACAAGGGTTAGGGTTAATAAAGAAGAAAACAACAAGGATTGGTTATTGAACTGCTATTCTTTCCTTTCTCTTAGAACAAGATTACAAGTATACAAGAATAACAAAATAACCTCTCTCTCTTAAAATTAGGATTTTATCTTCCTATTTTTCCTTATGCCAAGATTGAGAAACTAACATCATATTTATAAGAAAAATAGCACACTAACCTAATGGACTTTTTAACAATTACCCATTACAAGCCAACTTAGGGTACAAGCTAACTTAAACAATTGGGCTTACAAGCAAGGCCCAATTCAACATGCTAACAACCCTAGCAATATTGACTAATGCATGTTAGAACAAACTTGGACTACAACACGCATTACTTGCGAACAGACTTTGACAACACTAGAGTTTGATCCAACGTCTCACAAGATGACTTTTAAAATCACTATATTTTATTCAAGTTTATTTGAAATTGAAATGTCTTATACCATAGACATCACGGGAGTGGATAGCTCATTCGATAAAGGAATTTAAAACTTGACTGGATAAATTTTTAGATAGGATGGAAGAATTCATCAAGTTGAGCAAGATTGAAAGAGAATTAAATAAGAAAAAGTCAATAGAGGAACCGTCCATAGATATAAATTTAGGTGGTGAAAGATGTTTTGATTCATTTTAGTTTTTATCTAACAATGTATTTAGGTGGTAGCATGTGTTTTTATGTAATATTGGATTGATATTAGAAATGTAAAATGTATAAATTTTCATACATTTTAATGTATATTTTAGCTTTCTAAATTTTTCATATTTTTTGTGTTTCATAAATAGGTTTTGTTTCTATAATAGATTCTCTTTGAACAGTTTGGGGTGAATCCAAAAATGTATTTTCGGGAAAACCACATTTTATATAAAAAAAATGCTAATAGTGGTTTATTTGGAACTACATTTTCATATACACCCTAATTTTACTAAACGAAATATGGTGTATCAGAAAGTACATCTCCGAAATATGCTCTGAGACAAGATTGAGTTTCTAAGATTCATATTAATCTAATATACTTGTAAAATATGGGTGCCCTTCATCTTGTTAGCACAAACACACACGTGTCTTAATATTCATATCTCGCATATATCTACTTCAATGACAAAACCTCCCCTCTTGAATTTAGGTTCACAAAGATGACTCGTCGTGTCGATCTAAAATCTATATTAGAGAATCTGTACCTAAACAATCGAAGAATTGTGAAGCTCTACTATCATTCACACTGATCGATAATGAAAGGAAGATCCAATAAGTTTGAGCTGAAGACAAGTGGAGATTTAGCTGTTATGTGGAGTATATTTCACTGTTACGAAATCAAATATCTGATCAATGTGGATATGAAGATTGCAAGATCAATCAAAAATATTTTTAAAATGTTAAAATGTATTTTATCATCACTTAAAATGTATTGTTAGATTATCTATATAATGATATGTTTTTGATGTAAGTCATAATAATAATGGATGTTAATTTATGTTATCCATCTATTTCGGCATGTTATGCATATTTCTAATTGATGTTAATCTATGATATGATAGTAAAATTTCATATCTTTTCTGACATTTCAGTACGTCAAAATATGTATTTTCATATTTGGGTGACATTTTAGATTTTCCACAACCTTATAATAGTATTGGAACTTTTTATTACTGTAATTTGCAACAGCAAAAATTACTCATGGTTGGGATAATTTAATTGTTGAATTGAATTTGTAGGTAACCGTCCTACGTCCGAGTAGAGGTGGCAATGAAATTCATTTAGATAATATTCATTTAATTCATCTAATAATTTATCTATCCAATCCATTCATAAGACAAAAAATAATTTAATGGATTTGATCCAATCCATTCACTAACTCATATGGATGAATTCAATCCATCCATCTCATTTTATAAATTCATTTGATATTATGTTGTCACTTATTAAATTAAGAATTTTTAAATTAATTTTTTTTGATAGATGGATATCCATCCATTAGAAATATGTTAATGGATAGATTGGATGGATTTTATCTTTTAATGGATAGATTGGATTGAATTTTTAAATTAAAAGAGTTTAGTGGATTATTAATGGATTGTTTTGATCCATCCGTTAACAATTCAATCCATATTCATCTAATTCATCCATTTTGCCACCTCTAGTCCGGGAAGCAGCATTATCAATTGACAAATATATATATATATATATATATATATATATATATATATATATATATATATATATATATATATATATATATATATATATATATATATATATATATATATATATATATATATATATATATATATATATATATATATATATATATATATATATATATATATATATATATATATATATATATATATATATATATATATATATATATATATATATATATATATATATATATATATATATATATATATATATATATATATATATATATATATATATATATATATATATATATATATATATATATATATATATATATCAACGTTATTCTGAATTTGTTAATTAATTCGGATAACTTTTTTTTTTTGTAACTGAATAATTTTGAAATAGTTTCTTTAGTGATCTGATATATTTTAAGTATTAAATTATGTGTTTAAATTTTAATATTTTTGAAATGTTAAAAGTAACAATATTTTATTAACTTAAAATATTTTTGATAAAAACTGTTTTCTTGATGAACCTCAAATGGAACCTGCCCCAATCTGTTCATGGTCAAGTTGATTTAACAAGTTCTGTCCAAAGAAATAAAGAGAAAATAGCACCTATATTGAAAATTTTACTAAAATGATGATAGTTCAAATGTCCCCAAAATTCCAACTCCATTTTATAATTGAACATCAACTCATACATCAAAAAAGACTCCAGTCATAAACCTTGAAGCTAGTAACAGCAAGTTTAAAGACCTCATCCATTGGCATACATCCAGCTTGTGCAGCAGGAACAGCCATGCCGGCACCAACCGCGTCCGCACTTTCGCTAAAAGGGCTGCAAACATAAAATAGCAAGGCCAATCAGTAAACAATCGAAACAACTGAATTGCGTGACAACTTACCAAAGAGTTTACGTCAAGAAAAAGATGTTTCAGAAATTTACTTTATAACAACCGGCTCATATGCAGTGATTAGTACATCAGTATCAACTCCTTTAATACGCAAATTTGCCAAATGAACCTGATTAAATTAAACAATGACAAATTAGTAAGACCAGACAGTTAATATAGGAAAAAAATTGACAAATTAGCAATTGCAAAAGTTCAAAACATGTGGAGTAAATCAGAACATACTTTCACAAGATTTTGTGCTTCCCTTCCCTGTCGTCCCTTAGAAATCGCCTAGCAATAATTGTTAATAAAAGAATAAGTGTAGGGTAAAAAAGAGTAACATCAGAAATGAAAACTGCCACAAAATATAATATTTGATTAGTACAACAAACCCGTTATTAGATCAATACTTAACAGACTTATAGTAGAAGTAAACACAAATTTGTTATTTTGTTTGAGCAACTTCAAGAAGAATATCTAGTAGAAAATCTAGATAATTCAAATGACAATTTTACAGAGAATCGCTAACAAGTGCCAGTTTCCAGTTTCTTCAAGTTTCAAAAATCCAAGAGTTCTTTGTGTTCACAAGTCAAGACTGAGAAATTCATAATTTCGGCAGAAACTAGCAGACCAAAGAACAGATTAACTGAAAGTTGGCCTGTAGTTTATAATATAATTTTAAAAAACTTCAAAAAAGGAGGAAGCTTTAAAAAGGATTAGAGAACCACAGCATTACTAAGACGCGCATCAATGCAATCTTTAAAAACAGTCAGTGAAATAGAAGTTGTCAAAATCATCAATTTCTCAATGCTGAAAATCTAATTAGGAAACCAAAGAAGCATAAGAACAATGCATCAACATGAACCCTGAGATTATTCATCTAGGTGACGCAAAATGATATAGTAACATTGCATAAAAATCCATTTCCAAAAAAAACATTGCATATAAACTTTTTTACCATTTGTCCTACTGCAGTGGTTACAACAGCCGGTATATTATTATACATCAAACCAGGTGCTTCATGAACTCCTGACTGCTCATTAATCTGAAGTAATTTTAAAGAGCATATATGATTATGAGAGACAATGAACTTCTGAAACAAATAAGACAGTAAAAGAACTGAGCTGAAGGAAAGTTATCCCCTCTTAAAGAAAGTGTTGTGCCTTAGTGTTGGGATGCAATACATACATGAATTCATGGACACCGAAATTGTAGTGTTTTAGCTTCATTGTGTCAAATAACTCAAGTATCAGAAGTATCATAGACATAATACTTATGGAATTTTCAACTAACTGCTTACTTTTGGAAATATTGGTCATGGCATTGCATATCTGCAAAAAGTTAGATGGGTCTATGCATTGTCTAAGCTTCAAGTCCAAGGGACTCTAACATGAAGAGGCGTATTGGAGATATAGCATAAAATGTGAATGTATCTTCACTTAACAACTTGAGTATTTGAAATAGTTGGTTCATAAAAAAAAAAAGAGCAAATTTTGCATGCAGTGAGACTACAAGTTTACAACCATCAACGAACAAAATTTTCAATGACGATTTGATTAATTAAAAAGAGTAAAAATGAAAGCACACTTTAATTTAACCAAAACAAGCAAACCCCCTCAGTACAGTATGTTCATTATGCAGCACAATATAAATTGGTTCTCTAATTAAAATGAACTTCAAAAAAATTAGTATTTAGTATCATATGTAGGAAGCTAACTACATCCTTCCACTTCAACCAAATGAACAAAATTCTGCCGGCAAAGCATATTAGAAAGAGGAACCAACGAGGGTATCAAGTGCATCAACTCACCCCAACTTTTTAATGTCCATCTCATTGATCACTCCTTCAAGCTTAACCATAGTTGTCAAGATCTCAATCTAGATCATAAAATCTTGAGGTTTTACGATCTCACTCAGCCCTAACGATTCCGATCTTAAGTAGATTCAAGTGTTGTAGCCAAATTGTGAAGAAAAAAAAGTAAAATCATCGATCTTGTGCGATCTTTGCCAATTTCAGCCATGATTGGCCGTTTTCCGGCCACCACCATTAAAAAGTGAGAAGGATGACAAGATGGAGAGGCACAACAATTACGGTTCAGCGGGGATGAATGTGTGCCTTTTGAAATGAAGTTTTAGATTTAGGGTTTAGAGAATAAACATCTCACTTGGTTGGTTTGTTTTTAACTAATTGACTTACTATAATCCCAATAGTTGACCAAATATATCCCTAATGTCTAACGAATGTTCCTTGTGGTGGTAATAAAGTATAAAAAATCAATCGTATATGTCTAAAGAATATGAAAAAGTGTATGGATGGCAAAATGGGCCCAGCCCGCCGGCATGCCCGTTTTGCTTGCAGTAGGAGTGAGGCGAGCGTAGAGATGGCGAAACCACATCTCACAGTAAGGGAGACAAAACACATGGACGTTATCATTGTACTGAGCAACAACGTCAATGGAAGGCCAAGGAGTGTCCTTGAAAAGACAATCCAATAAGAGATTGGAAGGAGCTTTCATACATCTGATGGATCTCGTATACATTCTTCTACCTGATGTGACAGTAAAGATGAACAACAAAGGTTTTCAGCGAATCTTGTACGAAATCAAGATCATAACCTAAATTTAGAGATTGAAGATCATCATTTGCCACTGTCTCCAACCGATTCAAGAGCTAGGTTATGGTTTGGCCGCCATTATGCGGCCCAATAGTATGACAAAACAACCAAAGTTTCAAACACGCGCTTACTCATAGTATCATTCACACATTCCACCGCTATTAATGTACTATATAATAGGATTAGTTTAACAGTTTGTTAGTTTTGTACCGATGTTATAATTAGTTAGAGAGTTAGAACTAGTTAGTTATCTTAACTGTTATATGAGGGCATGCATATATTAGAGCATTGAGCCCTTATACAGTGACTAGATCATTTTTCCATTCATCGATAATGGAAAACCACTTTTCTCTATCTCAATTGTGCAACATTACCATGGTTTCGGAGCTTTCATAGCTTAGGTAGCCAATCCTCTTGCATTTCTCTCAAAATTTCTTGATTAATTTGCAGAATTCTGCATTTTCTTGCAACATTCATTGATTTTCTTCCTCTGAATTTTGCAAATTTCTTGATTTCTTCTTCAGTCGTGGTGACATCGAATTTTTCTGATTTCTCTATAAATTCTTCTAATCCTTTTTACTTGCATCCGAATGAAAATCCAGCTCTGATTCTTGTTTCTCCTCCATTAGATCACAAGAATTATCATATTTGAGCAAGATATATGCACATCACTTTAATCTCAAAGAACAAGTTGAAGTTTATTGATGGAACTCTTCTCAAACCTTCATGCTCCATGGATTCATTGCAATAGTAATACTATGGAGCTAGCATGGATTCATCAATCTATTTCTAAATCAATTGTGTGTTCTGTTCTTTAGATCATTTCAACTGCTGGTGTTCAGAGAAATTTACAAATTAAGTTTTTGCAAGGGGATATCTTCCGCATATCTGATATTAAGAAGAGCTCTACAAATTTTGACAATGTACTCTTACTACACTCAACTGAAGGTTCTTTGGGACAAATTAGAGAACTATCACCCAATTCCTCATTGTATGTGTTCAATTGCTTGTTCATGTGGTGCAATTGAATCCATCAAAACATATCGTGAACAAGATTACGTGATTCTCTTTCTTAAAGGATTAAATGATTGCTTTTCTCAAACAAAATATCATACCATCCTTAGGACTCCTCTTCCTAATGTTGATACTATCTTTTCTATGTTGATTCAACAAGAAAGGGAATTTAGCAATTCAATCACTGACTATTGATCATGATGATCCTGATACTGATTCTACTATTGCTCTCTTAGCAAATTCTTGGTACGGAGGTAATCGTCTATGCACACATTGTAATCGTACTAATCATACTATTAAACTAATCCTACTATATTCATTAATAACAGCCACTAATTGTCACCACATATGATCAACAAACACATCAGAATCCAGTTTCTATATACCAATTACAATATCAAATTTCACTTAAACTCGAAGAAACAAAAAACAAAACAATAACATACCACAGTTCCTTCAGCATCCTGTTCCCTAGCAAGATCTTGTAGAAACCACACAGCACTACCATTATCAGCAACATCAGGCTTAAACTCTAAAAGCTCAACAATCAAACTTTCATCGCGACTAGGATCCGCAAACACCTCCTGTATAAATCACCAAAACCCAAAAATCCATCTAGTTAATAGATCAAACACAACAATAGAATACAATACAATTCAAATCGAATTCAAAGAGAAATCACAACAAACCTGATGATCAGGTACTTGGCGAATTTCGCTGACATCCTACAAACAAAATTACAACCAATCAATTATATATGTGAGAATTTCAGTTGCAAGTATAAAAACCTATACAATTGAAAGAATTTAAAAAAAAAATAAAAAAGGTTTCTTCTAAAAAAATAATCTTTCACCTGGAATCTGTTGGGAAACGTGCATGATATTTGCCCTCCGAACAAAGGGCGTTGATAAACGATATCTGATGGCATTTTTTGCACTATAAAAACAATATAACAAAAAAAAAATTAAAATAAAATAAAAAAACGAAATTGAATAACGGAAAAGTTAAAAGTGTTGAGAATTGGGAGTTAACGGTACCTGATAATGAAGTGTGAGAATAAGAATGGAAGAATAAGGGTTAGTTTTTACGGTAGCTAATAGACAAATAGTAAACACGATATTCAAATTTGCTTCAAATGTAAGCTAAAGAAATACTCCTCTGCTTCAAATTTAAGCTAAAATACTCCTCTGCTTCAAATGTAATCTAATGTTTTAAAACAACGAACCGGACCGGCAGACTGAACCGTTTGAATCGGGAACCGGAATTAATACCGCTCCAGTTAGTGTGAAAAATGGGAAGCTCTGAAGAACCGGAAACTGGTTTAGGCCGGGAAGAACCAGAGTGACCGTTGAACCGCTGATGAAAAACCCTAACAAATTAAATTTGAGTGTAAAAACAAAAAGAATAAGGAGCCTAGAAAAACAACAATGAAGAAATTAAAAAGGTGATTAAGAAAAGACTTATACATTTAATGTTCCGTTTAAGTCTCTTAATTATAAAATGTTACAAGTTAGTCATTTAACATCACTTTCGTATTCTGTTTGGTTCCTTCCGTCAATTTAAAGCAAAAAAAAAACGTTAAATTTTGGTGACATGACGCGACAATAAGGTTATTAATACAAATCTAAGTCAGCATATGTAGTTAAAAGTTGATATATTATTTAAACTACGAGGGTTTTGTTTTAACCTCCGAATACAACACCCTCATAATTTAAACAATGTATCACTTTTTAACTATATACGTTGACTCAGATTTGTAACAATGGCTTTGTTGTCTCGCTACATCGCCAAAACTTAATGTTTTTTTTGGCAAAATTTGATGGAATATACCAAATAGGATAACGGAAGTGAAGTTAAAATACTAACTTGTAACGTTTTTTAGTTAAGCGACTAAAACAGAACATTTAATTAAGTTAAGGGACTTGGTGATTAAATATGCCTTAAAAAAATAAATGCACATAACTCTATCTCAATATCATAAGCATATATTATGTATCGTGAAGATTAGGGTTGGATTTAGAGGATAGTTTTTTTCATCCTAAGGATTGTTCTTCCATTCTAATGAAAAACTAAAATTATTTTTGGAATTCGAAAATATATTTTCCACGTACAAAACAATCTATTTGTTATTAAGTCAAACTCCAATTTTATGACAAAATATAATCTGGAAATGCATCTTTATATACCTTACAGAAATGTATTTCTGAAATCCACTGAATCAAGAACACATGTAAAAACGAAAAAGATGCAAAAACAAAGATAAATTAACATCGACAATTGTTATGACATACATAAAAAGTAAAACATTACATAGATAACCGTTAATGTAAATCGAACAATACATTTCATGATCAAGTAGGATGTTTTAACATCTTCAGAGTATCTTTGGTCGATCTCGCAATCTTTGCATCTAGCTCATCGGAACTTTTGTTTCATAACAGTGAAATGTACTCCACATAATTTTTAAATATTCATTCGTCTTTAGCTCAAAATTGTTGAAGTGAATCTTTCTTTCGTTATCAATTGAGTGTGAACGGTACTCGAGTTTCACAACTTTTCAATTGTCTCTATGTATTGTAGGAGATTTTCTAGTATATATTTAAGATCTACAAGAGTGGTGTCCTTTATGATCCTAAATTCAAGTGAGGCATTCACACCATTGAAGTAGATAAATACAACATCTCAATATATATATGCTCATTTTTGTGTAATGGGTTTTGGTTAAAGATGAGATGAGAGACTCATATTTATACAAGTTTTAGATCTATATGGATCTTAGAAACACAATCATGTCTCATAAGATATTTCAAAGATATAGTTCCAGATACATCTCCTTAGAAACTCTTTATTCGTATTTTGTAAAATATTCATGGTGCAATTGAATATGTATTTTCAGATTCACTACAGAACCTGTTTTAGAAAACAGAACCTATTATATAAAATAAAAATTGAGAAAATTTTGTGAAGTTGAAACATATATTGAAATCTATAAAAATGTATACATTTGACATTATTCATATTAATAGAGATTACATATAAAACATGTCTAACCACATAAATACATCGTTGAATAAAAATTGAAACTAATCGAAACATGTGTATCACCTTATATATATATATATATATATATATATATATATATATATATATATATATATATATATATATATATATATATATATATATATATATATATATATATATATATATATATATATATATATATATATATATATATATATATATATATATATATATATATATATATATATATATATATATATATATATATATATATATATATATATATATATATATATATATATATATATGAGTGGTTTTGTCTTTCACTTTTGTTTATTTGATTCTCTTTCAATCTGGCTCAACTTGGTGAACTCTTGCATCCTATCCAAAAAATGATTCGACCAAGTTTTAACTTTCCTTGTTGAATGAGTTGTCCACTCTGATGATGTTAGTGGTATAGCAGCATCCTAGTTTCAAATAAACTTGGACAAAATGTCGTGATTTTGAAAGTCATCTGATACAAATAATACGATCAGTTGGATTTTGATGTGGGGTAGTCCGTAGTGGAAAAAATATTTCCAAGAACCTGTATCTTGTCAGATCAATAAAAATCCTATGATACACATTTGTTATAAGATGACCCATTTCAAATAAACGCGTCCATTTTTCCTCTAGTGTCAGACCACTGATACAAGGAATAAGAGATTCATGAATTGCATCAAAATGTTCTTTTATCTCGTATAGTCGTTTGTATGATTCTTTATAAGCCTTTAACTCTTTAATAATTTGTTGGCGGACAAATGTACGATCCTCCTCTCCTTTACCGAATAAATCAGAAATTTCTCGATAACCGCAGTTACCGTCACCCTCAACATTGACAATTCGTTCAATGTATTTGTGCATGAAAATCGGCATCTCTTTGATGTATAGCATTTTGGGTAAAGGTGGTGAAGGATATGGTTTGCTAATGCGAGCTCCTTTGAAAACAGTTTTTTGAGATTTTAAAGTTGGAGAATTCGGAAAAAGTTTGTCAACATGTTCAAAATAGGAAGGAGATTGCGTTGTTGAATTGTCACTTGGTGTTATTTTGACCTTCTTAGGAGCATCTTTTGTTTTTACCGGTTGAGACGATGGTTTTAAATTTGTGGTTTGTAGAAAAGAAATTTTCCTTAGTTGCTCTTTGATCTGGAGTTTTATGTTGTCATCGACTTTCAAAAATATCTCTTGTATCACTTACCATTCGGTCAAAATAGAGATATTTGTTTTATCATTCTCCATCACACCATCATCATCAAACCCGAGTCTTTTCTAGTAAGTGTAAATCTCGTCCATTCGTATTGGGCTATCAAGTTTCACCTTCTTTGAAATTAGACCAGCACATAGGAGACTATATATATTTCTAAGTGTACAACGGCATTTTAAGCTATTAGAACCTACTTTCTCAGCTCGTTTGGCTTCGTGAAAAATAAAATTCAATCATGTTTGAGACATGTTGCTAGCCAAATGTGAATAGTGATTGTTGTCTCTGAATTTATGTTCTAACATTGTAATGTTGCAACCAAATGATTTATCTACCTTATTTTGCTAATTTTGGATTATTTGGTTCACAGAGTCTCAATCTTTACACAAATCACATTTATTATTTCTCAACCAATTCTTCAATGTAGCATGGGCAAATTCAACTTGGTTAGTTGTTGTATTTCCAAAGTGTCTAACCTAATCAGTCTAAGCACAAACAATCTTCTCGTTCACCTGGTCTAGAATTGTACTTTTAAAACCTTTTAAGAAATCTGGATATGTCTCACACACCTTCCTGAAAAGTATAATAGAATCGGCATATAATTCTTCTGTAGAAGAATTTTTTTATAACATTCATGCATTCATTATTCATTCCAGTATCAGGATAGCTTGACCATTTTTCCATCTTCATCATTTATTTGCTTGGTCTCTACTGCAAGTTTAAGTCAACATCTCATATTCTTTGTGATATTATACCTAATAAGTAATGAGTATAAAGTGGAAAACACCTTTGTAACTGAATTCATTAATGCGGCATCACGATCGGTGACAATGACCTTCGCAGTGTTTTCTTTGTCCTTCAACATTGTCTGACTCACTTCTAAAGCTCAAGTAACGTTGTCCTCTTTTTCGCTTTCCAAAAATGCAAACCCAACAGCATAAGTCATTTCAAGAAATGGAAACCCAACGGAATAAGTTTTTTCACTTTCCAATAGTGGAATATTGTACTTGTTGGTCTTATATGTTAAATCAATGCTGAGTACAATGGGAAATTTGTTGAATAACTTATATAATCAAGATGAGTCCAAAATATATCTCGAGCGGTTTCTCCATCCTCATACACTCGGTACCTAGATACATAATGGTTATCATCTTGAAGTTTAAAAAATTGTTGCATTTCAGTTTTATCCCCTTTTATCGCCTTGTTGTATCGGATACAAACATTGTATACTTGCTAAATATTGAGATATTTCCGGGTCTTTTACGTTTCAAAGTTGCAAGAGTTTTTATGGGTTACACTATGTTCAATGTATCGGATGACCAACTAATTTGGGTCACATTTCATGATTATGTGTAACACACACACACGCGCGCACACACGGGCACACGCGCGCGCACACGCACGCACGCCCGCCCGCCCACACACGCCCGCCCGCACGCACGCACGCACACACGCGCACACACACACACGCACACACACGCACACACACACACACGCACACACACACACACAGATATATATATATATATATATATATATATATATATATATATATATATATATATATATATATATATATATATATATATATATATATATATATATATATATATATATATATATACACACACACATACCTACATACATGTATGTATGTATATGTA